TTGTGGAGGAAAGTAGAATGTCCAGTAGCTTGCATCAATGAATATAAACCAATATAGAATGTACCATAGCACTTGCATTCTTTCTTAATAGTGGTATCTTACATTGCTTCTTCTCTAGATAACACATTTTCCTCCTCTCTGGCTTTCTTTCCTTTCCAGAGCTCACACTTCATCTCAAAAATATTGACTTAGACAATTGAGGCATAATATCACTACAAGCTCATTATGTCATAGACTTTAATTATCCCTTCTCATCCATACATGAACACACAGAAGAAAAAGTTAAGCCAAATTGTCCATGGCCTGAAAGCCACAGGCATCGTGTGAATCATCGCTCTCCTGGGAGAGGAGGGTTTATAGGCCCACAGAGGGAGCACATCTCATGATTCTTGGGAAGAATCAGCAAACCTGTGGGAACTACTGGCGAAGTTTGTCCCACTGTGCTCTGTGGGAGCTCTCCTCCTGCCTTGTTCAGAGGCACTGGCCTTGTGTTCCTACCCTGCTGGTTGCTGTAGGATGTGAGTGATCCTGGCTCTTTGTAGTGGAACTGACACCCCTCCTCGCAAGTTACCTCTGCTCTAACTGTGAGTGCGGAGCCATTTCTAAGGCTACATTTCTGAATCTGATTTTCTTTACTTATTGAATCAATTTCTGAGTTCTTCAAGAATTTCTTTTACTTCCCAAAATGGAAGCACCACTGTCTGCCTTTGCTCCAAACGTCAGCGCTGGCGGGAAAAAAAAAGTGTGCTAATTAGCACCCAGTTAGCCTGAACAGTTTGAAGACAAAAACATAGCCAGAGGCAGTTCTGACACTATTTCTTTTCAGTTTCTACTTTTTATTTGAGTACATCTTCATATTACAGTATTTTTCATGTGAAACTTTACTCAGCTGTATCCATGACTAGTTTGTTCTGGCTCAGCTTTTTCCTCGTAATCATGTTAGGATTCTTTGAGGCTTGAGTGTTTTCTCTGAACCCTCCGCACAGAGCTGTGTGGGATTTTTTTCTTTAAACTGTTACTCTCCCCCACATGCATTCTGGACTGTAAATGCACACCTAATCAAGTCCAGTGTTTCCCCTGAAGCATTTTTCAAATTTGTCAACTTTCTAGTTGCTTGCTTTTCATATTACAGAAGCCTTACAAATATTTATCAAAGATCAGCACCGTCCTTGTGTTTGCATTCAGAATAAGCCACTGTAGTAAAGCCATGCCATGCTGAGTACTTTGTTGACATTTTTCTGCTGAAGATCCATACAAGTGGAAATTTGTGTGCTGAATACTACCTGGAAAATGATTTTTCATTAACTACCGATCCCTGTAACATACTTTTCATCTTAAAATTCACGTTCAAACAGTCATTCTTGAGTTCCACATTTTTCCTCAGCTATGGTCATTAGCCATGATTTTCTTCTTTTGCAATGTAGTATTTGCTTTTAACTGCCAAATTTGCTTCTCCTAAGCCCCTAATAATTATGTGCATCTTGTCTATGGCATGATGATGATAAAATAGTTGTTGTATTAAGAGGATCCTAATTGTGCATGTGTGCTTCACAGTCCACATAAATCAAGATATCTTTACCTGATATCACATGCCATATCACTTCTCCTTTAAATAACATTGGCATCTTACTGCAAACTTCAGGAAGACAAAATTTGTCAGCTTGTCATCCAGTGCTTTAAAAGCTGTTCAGCCACCCTCCCTTGAGATGTTGTTGTAAAATCTATAGTGCACAAGTTGTTATTAATTTTATAGCTTTTTAGCATTTGTGGATAGACTGTTAATGAGTGAATAAATAACACAATGTTTTTTAATCCCACGCATTGCTTAGTGTGAGTTATTAAGCAATGGACACACAGCCATTCTGTCTCCTTTAGCAGAGAAGCATCTGTAATGCCCCGGCTGCAACATCCCTTCCTCCAGGTGGCTGGGTAGTGTAATGCGTTGGGTAATAACATGGATCTAAGCCCCTGCATACTCAAAAAGAACAAAACTGTAGGAAAAAACAGAGTGATGTTCACCTCTTCAAAACTGCAGTATAACTGTTCACATCCAAGCTAATAGGCTACCTTGGCTTTTTGGGGTACAATCCACTTGACAAAAGACAGGTATCTACTCTGGAATTAGATAACTATCCAGACTATACAAAGGGAAAAGCTTTCTCATTTTCATTGGCATTGTATGTAGACGTTTACATGTGATCCAAAGAATTCTGCTCTCTGTGCCCATGCTATGCACTTAATGTACAGTTTATCATTGCTGGGTTTTAACATCAGTGCTGTCATTCTTACTAGTCTTACTCTGTGAGATTATTTACATATTAAAGCATTACTCAGCATGAGTAATGGTGCCAGCACTGAGGTTATGCTACAAATAGTGAGAAGAGAGGTTTCCATTATCGCTATGCCTTATCTCAGAAAGATCACTGGAGACTGTCACTTCTCAGAGGTTCTACTTGCTTTTGATCATCCTCCCTTCTTCCAATAATTGAGTCCAAGCATTTTAGCTTCTGTTATTTGGTAGAAAAGAACCCATCTTTTTGAAACACTTGTGAAGTTGCAGGGACGTCTGTGTAGGTTGCATGCAAAAGATTCCTGCAGAGCTGGTGGTGGTAGGGCTGGTGAGGTAGGTTATGGGACAGTCTAACTGAAGGGTTCATGTATTGGACTCAGAAGAAAAAAGAGAAGAGAGAACCACGTACGGCTGGGATGCTTCAAGAAACAGAAAGTGGACATGCAGTCTAATAAGGATGAACTCAGCTAAAGTCTCTCATTCATTCACATATATGAGTTGGACACCCTATTCTGATCTGCACTGTTTTTGTGATTAGTAAAGTTATTTAATACATTCTTCTAAAACTAGAAAATAAGTAACATGGCTTCAGTTAGATGACTTTTTAAATTCATGTTTAGTTTGGCTTGGCAGTTTCACTATATGGTGAAAAAACCCAAGGCTATTAAATCGCATGGTATGTGCCCTTCTGTACTCCATTTGGGACCTCTGCCATTGACATTTCTGCATGACAGTGTTAAGATGGTACCACCTGGATCTTTCCTACTGAAAAAAACTGGCATTTGCCTGAGCCAAACTCATATATTCTGTCAAAGAAACATAAGAAACTGATAGGATGTGAAAAAGAAGCCACCAAGGCTTATTTGCCTTGTCCTGTGGCCACGAGTTGTCCAGGGTTAAATTTGGTTCTAGTACCAGCAGGACGATAGAAAATCTGTTAAAGGCAAGGCAGATAATTTAAATTGAATCTACATACAATCTTCAAACATTCATATACACTTGAATTCTAGGTATTTGTCCCCAAAATATGGAATGTTTATGTAGATCGGAATGTGTCTGCATTGCTATATAAATCATTACATTAAAGTTGCTTGTGAACATATGAATAATCATCAAATCTGCTTATGTTGTCTTTGTACAAGCACAGGTCACTAAATAATTGGCTTATATTGATTACATTTATTTCAATAGACTTCTTCAGTTCTAATCCCCTCAATAATAATTGATTACTACACTACTTAGCCTTCCAGCCTACCCTAGGTACTCAAATTATACTTTATCAGCATTATAGCTCATTTCTGTGTCTTAATGCATTGTTGCTGGCTCCTTGACTACTAAACTTTTTTAGTATAAATATATTAGCTATACCTAAAACATCATATTTTTGCATGTCAAAACTGTTGTGCAGTCAGCATGGAGCAATCAGGTAGATGGGCCTTTTCTCAAGTATCATCTAATTTGAAGGAGTCCAAGTCTGCCAGTTGTCCACATTCAAAACACTGCATGCCATGATGTTGAAAACAGTATTTAAAAAAAAAAAATGAAAGAATTTTGTTGCCTTTTTGCTAGCACTTCTGTTCTTCACATTTCTGCTCTTAATTCATTCATTGTGCAGTGAAAAGGAATCCTTGCAATTCCTTATCTAGCCTAGGGGATAAAACTACCCAGATTTAGTTTGTATTTGTACTTACGTCATTTGAGGGAGAAAGAATCTTAACCCTCTGTGACAGAGTTCACCACAAAATCTTGAGAAGCTATTCCAGCATTTTCAGTAGCCTCACTACTAAAGTAAATGTGTATTTCTAAGCTAAAATTTGTTTAGTTTCTTCTCACAGCCATTATACGTTATTAGACCTTTGTCCACTGTCTGGAAGAGTCCACTAACAGAATTATGTTCTCTTTAGACATACCATAGATTGTAATCACATTACTCCAGAACTTCAGTGTCTCCAACTGTTGTGTTCCTAGGCACATTTCTGACTGTAGCAGAATACAATTATTGTTCTCAGACCCTTCAACCGTGAATTTCATTGGAGAGTAAAGCTTGGTTTGTTCACAGTGATAAGTTTCACGTTCATTTGTCATTCTTCTTCTGTAGCTCCATCTTTTTCCTAGGAGGGACATGAGAAGCCCTCTCTTTAGCTTACATTCAGGTTCTCTTAGTTTACACAACACTTGACTTACGGCTGGCAGGTGTTTTCTGTAGCTCCATATAAATCCCTAGAGGGATGGCTTGCCTCACCCTTCATCACAGGTCATCTGCCTAAAGCCAAAGGAGATACCTGCCAAATTTTTGGTGATGGTACCATACCAACATACCTGTTGAAAAAGAGGAGCTTGAGATTTCAAATAGTATTTTATGGTACACATAAACAAAAATACAACAGAGCTGAAGGTATTGCTAATTAGCTCCAGGATTGTTTCCAGGATGCTTAATGAACTGCAGAAGAAAGTTAGGTGGAAATCTTCCTTTCCCTTGCATGCTAAGGAGATAGATAGTGCAACAAATATTTTGTACCTTTTCCATCACAAACACTTTGCAGTTGTATAGGAGTTTTCCTATGGTAGAAACTAAGACTGTTTAATTACAAGCTGCTTGTTGCTAAAGATTTTTCTTTTTTTTCTTGAGTCATGAATTTGTGAGATCAAATTCTATAGAAGGCACGCTGAACTACCTCTCTTACCTGTACCTCTTCTCTTGATTATCTAGATCCCTATGTGAAAATCCATCTGATGCAAAATGGTAAGAGGCTGAAGAAGAAAAAGACAACAATTAAAAAGAATACTCTGAATCCCTACTACAATGAGTCTTTCAGCTTTGAAGTACCATTTGAGCAAATTCAGGTAATGTCAAACAGTGTTTTGTCTTCCCTCTGCATTCCATTTCTCAGCCCTTATAAATATTTAACAGGAATCATGCTAATTATCACATGTGCATGCCTTCATTAGCACCTAGGTGCCAGCCCTGTGCTGCAGGAGATGAGTGTGAGTGCTTCAAGAGGGAAACGATAAAATGCACAGTACTTATGAAGCTTTGATTCATCAGTGTGAAATGAATAACTGACATTTTATGTTAACAGGAATGGATTCTGGAAAAAAAAAAAAAAAAAAAAAACCTACAGGGAGATAGCAAAGGAATGTTCCTGCAAAAAAAAAAACAAAAAGTGTAGGGGTAGAAAAAACTTGTATGCTGTAATTTCCCCCAGGTTATTGAAAATAATAAATCAGTATCACTGATCACAGTTGTGTTCTCTATGCATTTTTAGGAAATGTTTGTTGAAAGAACTGCAGCATCCCTGTCAAGTAAAATACATTATTTATTTATTTGTGTTTTAATAGTTACCTATTTTACCATGAAAACTTTTTCAGTGCTTCCCACTTCTCTTTGAAAAAGACATTTGAGAATCGCAGGGGTATCATTTTTCTTGGCAGCTCAGTGCAGCTCCAGCAGTTCCTCCTGTGCTGTTCCTGAGGAGCTCAATTCCTAAAACTAGGAGGCTCAGAATCCAGCTCATTGACCTGAAAGTTGCCTTCCCTAGTTGTGGAAAATAGCAAGTAACCACATCAGCATTACTCAAGGACTTGAGTACCTACCTTTGGGCTGCTTGGAGGCTAATCATCTCTAATTTATGTGAATGAGATTTGACTTCTCAAGTTAACTAACATTTTTCTCACAAGAGAGATGATCTTCTTAACCATCTCAGGAAGATCACTTGTTAGATCATTCATTGTCAGGACAAGATGCATGGGTTTAAATATGAGAGTAGAGAACTGCATGCTGGCTTCCTAGCCTCCCAGGAGGCTCTGTGACTATGCAGACAAATTAAGCAAGACAAATTCTTTTCTGGATGGAACTCAGTGTGGAAAGTATACTTTCGGGGGTCTCCCAGTTTTAAAGACAATAACTAAAGTCTGAGAATGCGTGCTTTTGTGGATTGTAAGAAAGGTCTTAAACCACAGATTAGGTGCTTTGTTGCTATGGGGGTTGAAATGACATTGGTTAAATATACAGCCAACAGACACTGTTAGGGAAAACTGCAAGGCAACAGAGACTGGAAGGCAGCATCCTCTTGATTAGGAGAGAGCCTGGTAAGGGTTTTGGGAATCTGCATCTTCGATTCTGACAGCAGCTGAGCTGGAGAGAAGTCCAGAATCTAAGGCCTACCTTTCACAAAATCTGTGTGCTTGCCTTTTATTGGCTTGGTTCTGACAAAGATGAAAAAGCTAAACAAGATGAGGCACTAGGAATAGTGACTAGAAAGAATGAATGACCCTCCTAGGAGCTTTTTGATACCCCCCACAGCAAAAATACAGATGTCGATGGGCACGAGTCAAAAAGCAGGAAATCCAATGGGGGATGATTCCAGTCGATTTTAATGAAAGCTGGTCATTGTCCTTGGGAAACATCTCAGAACAAGTGTCAAAGAACCAGAAGCTAAAAAAAGATCTATCATAGAAAGCCTCTCTGAAATATCTCGATTTCTGAGTAGGGGCAGGAGTGGGGAATCTGAATGGATACCTCCAAGTTATCGAATAAGAGCTTTGGCGTGTTAACACTTATTCTGTGGGTGCTTGGCCATTTTGCCCTCTACTCCTAAATCAGCTTAGTGAGGTGGACACAGACATTTTAAAAAGTGTTGTAGTTTAGCTATCTAAAATTTTACTGCTTTTTTGGTAAGTTTATTAGAGTGACTTATAGCTATTTACCTCAGGATATAGCCTCAATTTAATGATCTATAGTTATGGACTGTGGACATATACCAGTGTATTTTAGAATTAGTTATGAAAGACTGTGTTTAGAAGAGATTTCATTATGGTCACTGTAGTAATTTCATCATCAGAAAAAAAAAAGCATTTTAAATATTGTTTAGACTTATGTGATGATAAGAGTGGATTTAGGCTCTTGAGTGAAATGGGCACGCAAGGAAAAGTGGTATGTTGAAAGGCAATGGGAGAAGGCCACTGGGAAGTCAAATCCTGTTCCTACAGTCAAATCAAGTACCTGTTTCACCACTTTCAAAGCAGACCACATCCATAGGTAGCAGTCTCTACGCCCATTCATTCCAAGGAAACTGCTAATCCAAGAAGGCAGAGATGGTGCTTTCTGCTGCACCTGTTGTATTTTGCAGTGCAGCTGTTGCTTTAATATGTGGTAATATGCAGTACAAAAGTACTGAGATGCTTACATTTCTCTGTGGGTTTAAGTCAGAGACCATGCAGTGAAAATCATTTCATCATGAGCCATCTGAGCTACTTTTTCTTCCATCTTAATAGATCAAAAAAGTGTCTTTTGTTTTCAGTGCTCACTGTTCCATTATGATTAACAAAGGAAAAATCCAATAATAACTAGCCCTGAGCTTCTAGGTGCAGCAGACAACATTTTTTGGTACCATAAAATAGAACTCATGTCTGTGTTTTGTATCCGTGATTGTATCATGCATCTAAAACATAAATGTTCATTTGGGGAGGTACCATCAACATTAAAGTGAGTGTATTGCAAGCAGCAAAACTGAAACATCATTTTGGCCTCTAGAAATACTTGCTTCAGGATATTGCTATATATCATGAGTGCTCTTGGGAAACAGAATCTTGAGTTTGATGTACACTTTTGTCATCGGCAACTATATCAATACTTTAGTGCTTGCTGGAATTATTTCTTTCTCTGGTTCAGTGAATTGCGGAGTCTTGTAAATGAATGGACCCTAAAAAAACAGAGCTCGTGAGTCTGGTCTTGCAGAGATGCTTAAGGGTTACTTTTAAAAGATAAACCCTATTGCAAGCAATGAAATTAATTGTGCTAGTAGAAAAATCCAGACTATACACATATTTAAAACCTTAAATTTAAAAAAACTGATACTTGAGAATTTATATATATATATATTATTTATTTATTTATTAAGAAATCTATTTCAGTGCATTTCTTCCTCCAGTTCAGGAAGCTCACATTCACATAGGGAACTATATATATTTATAAGGGGATGGAAAGAAGTCACAAAAAGAACTGTATGCTCAACTTTACCAGGAAAATCTCTAAGGAGAAACATTTACAGTTAAGTAAAATCAGCCCAAGGCTGTTTAATGTCTCAGATACTATTAAGAATACCACTCCACTGAAGGCAAAGCTCTTTGTACTGTTTCAGTAAATCTTAACAACCTGATGGAGAGGAACATGTGCATGTATACACAAATACCTGCCTTGAACTCTGCCTCTCAATGTGCCCCGGCCCAAGTGAACAGAAACTGGTGTGTGAGGTCTGAGAGATGGGCTTTTACAATTCTGTGTGCCAGAGCTTACCAATCCTACAGTCAAATGGCTCTGCAGCTCTGGCGCGGTTGCAGGCCAGACCTCGCTGTGCCTGATAGTGCTGCTGTGCCAGAGCCCCGAGACACCCGTTTCTTCTTCATTCCGGCTCCCTTGGGTGTGCAGTCTCTTTTCCTGACTGCTTTATAGTTGTACAGATCTATCACATACACATAGATAGGGGTGTGCACATGCGCACACGCAGGTACGTACGTCTGTCTGTAGATAGCAGCTCTAAGGGCTGTCCTCTGAATTATTTCTGCAAACAGACGATTTGCATGCAAGATAGATAGAAAGAGTTGTTTAGAAGTAGGAAGAATTGAGTGCAACATTGGAAATGATAAGTTGGTGTGGAATTCATTTCTGAATTCAACCTTCTAAGTTTAACATTTACTTATACGATAGTGATATATTTAACTGAACTACTTTTTAATTAACTTTGCTTAAGATCTCACCCTTAGCCCTACAGACTTCAGGTAGCCTGATTCTCCAGGAACAACAAAAAGAATGTGTACGTTGTTAAGCCATTAAAGGAAAAAATCAACTTTTATTCTCCCATGAAGCTCTTTGACACAAGGGGGTGAATTGCATGTTAACCTTGAGGTTCTGAGTAGAAATACATCTGGAAGGCTCACAAGAAACATAGACAAGTGTTTGAATTTACTTATGGTTGGAGGAGCCTCCTCTGGCAGTCATGCATCTGCTCAATTGGTGTGTACAGAGTCTCGATTGTAACTGTCTGTGCTCAAATTCCTCTCTGCCCTTCTCCCTTCACTGGTCTTTTTCTGTCTCATTGTAGAAAGTGCAAATTGTTGTAACTGTTTTGGACTATGACAAGATTGGCAAGAACGATGCCATCGGGAAAGTCTTTGTGGGCTACAACAGCACTGGAGCAGAGCTGAGGCATTGGTCAGACATGTTGGCCAACCCCAGGCGGCCCATCGCACAGTGGCACACCCTACAGCCCGAGGAGGAGGTAGATGCCATGCTGGCAGTCAAGAAGTAAATTAAATTAAATTAAAGTACGAAGAAGAAGAAGCCTTTCTGCATTTGCCCACATAGTGCTCTTTAGCCAGTATGTGTAAATACCTCAGTAATATGGGTCCTTTCATTTCCAGCCATGTGTTCCTGTCACTGATCAGTTGTACTTTTAAATTAATTCCTGTTTTAATTTGCACAACTTTAAATGTAGAGAGCCCTCTAACGGCGCTTCATTTCACCACTGCCCCCCAGATCTACTCTTCTTTTAAGCAATATGATGTGTAGATAGAGCATGACAGAAATTATTTATTGTATCACACAGTTGTATATATACACCAGTATGCTGAGAATTTATTTCTAGTTTGTGTATTTGTATGTTGTAAGCGTTTCCTAATCTGTGTATATCTAGATGTTTTTAATAAGATGTTCTATTTTAAATTATGTAAATTGACTGAGATATAGGAGAGCTGATAATATATTATAGGGTAACTATTGTATCGTCTGCATTCCAGAAAAAAATTCCAACTTGTAAGGCACTAGTAGTGTTACACTGACATCTTAAAGGACAACTTAAATCTGAGCTTTCAACTGGACCATCCTAATAACAAGCTACGCATACACAGTGAATCTTGGAGGGGCACATCCAATTTGGTAGACTTCTTTGACAGGCAACTTAGCATGATCTGAGCAGCTCCATGGCTGACCTCAAGGAGATGTAGCCAGAAGCCAGGAGATCAGTTTTTTGTATATACTCCAAAGCGCAAACATTACAGACCGAAAAGGCTTTCGATTGAAAGTTGAGGAAGCAGTTCCGTAGGAGGCGACAATTTCATCTCACGTGAAAGTAAGAACATTGCAGAGGTTATGCGGGGAGGGGGGGACGGGAGGGGGGAGGCGCAGCGGTCGCGAAACGCTGCCATGAAATCAAGAGTAGCTCTCCGTTATCACCTTTATACAAAATTTGCATACTGTGAATTCCATCCACGATTTCACATTATAATGAGTTTGCACATTAGACTTTGTAACAAAATATTTTATTATACTATCTCAGATTAGAAGGAATGCAGAATATTTTTTAGACACAGCCGTGTGAGTTTATTATACAAAATAGTTTCATGGTAAACGGACAGTATTGTAATCCCATCAGAAGATGACAAAATTTAGCCATAGTTCTAAATGCACTTCAAAGTAAGCCAAAAGAGAACAGCTAGTGACCTTTTATATACTATTTATACTTAAGTTTTAATTTGTCCTTTAAAAAAAAAAGTGAAAACAAAGAACAAGTTCTAGAAAACTGAAGCAACCTCTTCTGTATACTAGATGCTCGTTTCAGGAGGAGTTTTTAAATGTTTTCAATGTTATTATGTAGTAAATGGCACTATTATGAAGCTATTAGTCATTCCATAAGAGTCTTGAAAGACTGCTCTGTGTATCACTGTGACTGCCGTGTGTGCTTAGAAATGTAGTTTTCTCAGTGGATAGCAATCAATTTATTCCGTAGTGATATTGTAATAATACTGCCATTCCCTTCTACTGCACTGCCGAAGGAATGCATAGCACAAGCAGTTCTAGTTATTACGGACCAATTTAGAACTGGAGAGCTATGCAGGAGACAAGGAGGCTATATTGAATGGGTTGACCACGCAGCATTTTGTCAAGCCCTGTGCAATATTCCCCATTTCCAACCTCCCTCACCCTAGCGCCCCGCTGCTTTACTGTAGATAGCCATCTTACAGCTAGCCAGCATGTCATCTCGGCTTGTGCCATCTCATCAAGTCATTTAGGGCATCACTTCTATCCCATGTACTGTCCTTTGAAGCCCTTTGAAGCCCCTCGCTTGTCTTTCCAAGCTGTGAATATATTTATAATGCTTTGAAAAGTGGATTACTTTCAGCCATGCAAACTACCCCAGAAATGTGGCAATGCTATACCTTTTGGAGGGAGATGTGAGACGCTAATGCTTTTCTCAATTGTACCTAAAAGAAATTATTGTGAAAAATGAAAAAACAATGAATGTGGTTAGAGAACCGTGGGCTGAAAATGAAATTCTACACCCTCCCTCAAGGCTGCTGAGAGAGCTGTGACAGTGTGAGGTCAGTGTGGTGGTGGCCACATGCCACCATTTGCAGTGCACGGAGGGAAAAAGGAGCAGCAAAGTGAGAGGAGACTAAAAATATGGATCTCTCCTCACCTCCAAAAGTAAGTAGCAAGACCCATTTTCTTTCTTTTTTACATGAAACATGGAAAATACACAAGTGAGACATCTTCTGATAGAAACAGGCACATACATGCAAAGCATCAAGCTGGAATACTTTAAAATCTTAACCTTGAGGACCAAACCCCACCAAAGAAAAGACCGAGACAGTCAGCTTTCCAGCATAAGAGCAGATATTCAGCTTCATGGTCTCTAGCTTTCAGTTGTTCATTCGGGATAGCTGCAGGTTCAAACTGCCAGAACTGATTCATTGTGTTAAGGTATTCTTAATGCTTTTTCTTCCTACACTGCCAGACTGAATGTCACCGTAGAATTGGTTTGTAAGGTACTACGATTCTCAGAGACCGAACCTGCTATTTGACCAAGATGACATTTTCATCCTCAAAGAAGCCACATGTACCTTTCTGACAAAGCTGTGTGAAGTATTAGAATCTGATGCTGTAGAAAGATCCTAGTTGCCTTTGTGTATATTTACTGCCTGCTTGAGTGTTTCTCTGTGTGGGTTTTCTCTGTATCTTGTAGAAATGTTTGGGGTGTTTTATCCTGCCATATCGCTCGTGGCCCGCGAGCTGACAACTTTAGCCGTATTTTACCTTCATTTTTGATGAGGTGGTTTATATTTTGTTCCACTTTGTGTAGTGACTTCCCACAGTAGAGTTTTCCAATTGTCGTTAAAATAACATACATATTACACAGATATTCAATAAAAATGTTTTATTTCCTGTTGATGTTTCAGTGTTTCTCTTTTGATCTAAAATTAATTATATAAAAAAAAAAAAGGCATTTCACTCAGAGACCTTAACACAACCATAAACACAGGAGTACTGCAAATGCTATGACACCAGGCCTTGATGGGGTCTGTTCTAAGGCAGTCACAGCCAGAGCTTCTCCAGTAGGCGAACTTTGCCTGCCCTGCAGATGAAGCATTCCTCTGCTTTCCCAAGGAAGCTGATTATTTGCCTCCTGAGACATGATTCGCTAACAAAACACGGAGTATTTTCAACATCATGACAAAAACACCAAGCAGTTGCCTGTACAATTGGTACTCCTCCAGCCAATTGCAATTGTTTGCAGAGATGGTACCTTTTAACTTATCCAAGGGCTACTTCTAAGCTGGCCATAAAAATCAAGCCTCTTGTAGACTAAAAGTCATCAGAGAAGGGACTAAAACTTTAAGTGGAAAAAATGTTCTGTGAGAAATTGAATCCACTAACAAGTGAACAGCATTGTACTTCAAAACGATTGAATTTCCTACCGAGAGAAACCATTCAAAACAAACAACAGCAGCAACACAAAAACCTGTAGCCACATTTGTTTTAAACATGTAACATTTTCCACAGCAACTCTTTCTGCTACTGCTTTTTCTCCCATTCTCCAAAGAAATTTACCCATCCCTTTCAGGAACCACAATAATTACTGATATGCACCACTTCAACCGCAGTCGTTTCTGCACCAGGAGCTCATTGGAACAATTTTCAGATCACCCATTTCCCTATTCCCACTGCTCAGAAACTGCTCATTTCTCCTAGCTGTTTTTTTATACCTTGAGTCAAGGAGCACCAAAGGGCCTTGTGCCACTTCTGTTGTCAGCATGTTCTTTTTTAACCATCTTGATGAGGGAATTCAATGCACCCTCAATAAGTTTGCAGACAACACCAAGTTGGGAGGAGTGTTGATCTGCCTAAGGGGAGAAAGGCACCAGAGGGACCTGGATAGGCTGGATTGATGGGCCAATGCAAACTGTATGAGTTTCAATAGGGCCAAGTGTCAGATCCTGCATTTTGGTCACAACAACCCCAGGCAACCCTACAGGCTTGGGGAGGTGTGACTTGGAAAGCTGCCTGATGGAAAGGGACCTTGGTGTACTGATGGGCAATCTGCTGAATATGAGCCATGTTCTGTACTGCCTCTGTACTCGGCACTGGTGAGGCCTCGCCTTGAGTACTATGTTCAGTTTTGGGCACCTCAGTACAGAAAGGACATTGAGGTGCTGGAGCAAGTCCAAAGAAGGACTACAAGGCTTGTGAGGGGCTTAGAGAATATGCCCTACAAAGAGTGACTGAAGAAACTGGGGCTGTTTAGGGGAAAAGGAGGCTGAGGGAAGACCTTATTGCTCTCTTCCAATATCTGAAAGGTGCTCACAGCGAAAGCGGGGTTGGTCTCTTCTCACTGATGACAGGATGAGGGGAAATGGCCTCAAGTTGTGCCAGGGTAAGTTTAGGTTGGATATCAGGAAACACTTCTTTACAGAAAGGCTTGTTAAATGCTGGAATAGGCTCCCCAGGGAGGTGGTTGAGTCACCATCCTTGAATGTGTTTGAAAACCATTTGGATGTGGTGCTCAGGGACATGATTTAGTGGGGGGTTGTTAGGGTAGTTTGGTTAGGTTGTGGTTGAACTTGATGATCTTGAAGGGCTTTTCCAACCTGAGCAATTCTATGATTCTATGCTGCTCCTTTCCTTGCCATCTGAGCTGTTGTATTGCTCAGACCAAGCATGTACTTCCCTAAGAGCATCAGTTTGCTTACGAACAGACGTAGATCTATTAAAATCAATCAATAAAAGTACTTTGATCCTGACTCTCTGTGTATCAGCTGTTTTGGTTGTTCTCGAGAATAACAAAATAACAACTTTGTCAATCAAGACCAGTTCTTCCAACAGGGCTGATCAGTTAAAGACAGTTATTACAACTAATGTAAGGAAAAATGCTTTGCATAATAGCTGTTATACTAAGTGGGAAAAGCAGCAAAAATTACCAATTATATTCAGTTCATTTAACCCCTAATCAACTGTCAAGAAAAACATTCTTTCCAACTAACAGACTGTTACGAAAGCAAAGGATCCACATCTCTTGATCACTTTTCACATCATGAGCCAATGAAAGTTAATTGCCTGTTAGTTATGCAAAGCAAGAATTAGAACATTGTATTTTCTGATAACCCTAACAGTCGATTTCTTTATTTATTTATGCACTACTATTTTCACTCCAGGCTTCCAGTTTAGTTTCTTGTACACATGCTGTCCTGCTTTTCAGAATGCACATCCACCACAGTCATGCCCAGCCTCTATTTTCACTATCGGTTCAGATGCTTGTTCACCTGGATTTTAAAGAAAGCATGGGAAAAGGGTTTTCTGTATGTACCACAAGAGCTGATACTCAGCCTTAGTTACATTTATCTTGCACACAGTAAATCTTCCTATGATCAACAGAGAGAATACTTTTAAGGTTGTGCCAAAAAGTAGTGTGCGACAGAGACGGTATGGGTCAGAAAATAATTTATGGTGCTGTGTGACTGATACCTGCAGCAGTATTTTCAAATACATAAGCCACACTAAGAGGTTTATTCAAGACTTAAAAAAAAAAAAAAAAAAAAAAAAAAAAAAAAAAATTCTGAACAAGATAATGATCTGTACTTGGATAATATTGCTTTTGAAAAGGGCATATATGTTGGGGAGGCAAAAGACAGTTCTTCCAACCTTTTGGGCTGAGGAACGAAGGGGCAGGTAGGTGGTTTAGTATTTTTCCTCTAGACATGTGCTATGCAATAACATACCACGATTCTAAACAAACATTTAGAACAAAAAAAAAAAAAAAAAAAAAAGAAGTTAATAAATTTCATCTTCTGACAGAATCAGGCTCAC